GAAAATCTCCACAGAATATGCATGTCTAGGGCTGCTCTAAAGCAAAAGCAAGAGGAATTTTTCATTTGAAAAGATGAGTGCTTGCCCATGTTGTAGCGTTTTCCTTCTGTGCTTCAGCATGAAGATGTTCTGAGAATCACCTAGTGACTAGAGTAAATAAGCAAGAGGCTTCCTATTTGCTTCATTGATCACTGCTTAGAGGATCTGCACATTAGGAGATAATATTAGAAAAGAAATCCTTAAAGTAGTATTTCTACTGCATTTGAGGTCACCTGCAGTGCCCAATTTCACTCTACAGGCATTAGGCAAACTCAGCTACTCCCATTTGTATGAAGCACAGAAGTCTGAGGAATTGCATCACAGCAGTCTTTGTGTGAGGGCTTCACAGACAGTGGCTCATCTAAATGGCACATTGCTTCATCCTGGGCAGGGACTGAAAGCATCACAGCACCAAGCTGCAGGTGCCCCAAGCCCAATGACTGCACCAGGGCTTGTGGGGGGATCAGCAGCTGCAGCATTAGCTGGGCACATCAGAGACCTCGGAGCTTCAAGAAGCAAATCCATCATGGTGTTGCAGAGCTCATATTTTCACAGCTGTTCATGTTTTGAAAAAGTTGTGAAAAAGTAATGCAAAACCTAAATGGCCTCACTTTCCCTCTCAGCTTTCTGCCGTCCTCTTCCCTTCAGCACATTATCCATCTGGCACCCACTCAGTGAAGGGATGCAAGCAGCACCGGGCAGCCAGCATTTAATTCTGGTCCCTCACTTGCTTTAGCACCAGTGGGGTTTGAGAGCAGCAGCCACGCCAACCACACCCTCAAGAAGAGCATCTGCAAAGCTGCGTTCATGCATGAGACATCCACCCATGCTGCAGGGCCAGAAGCCCACAGCAGTGCAGCAGGGCACACACCTCCCTACCCAGTTGGAGGCACAGGGAAAGCAGCCCATGGTATTTACCTGCCGCCTGCGCAGCACTCTCAGCCTGTTGCGTTGCTTCCTCGGCAAGCTTCTTTCCAATCCCAAACATGGCTGCTGCTGGTCTGCTCTCCCCACAGAGGATGGGTGATCGAGTCTCTAAGTTTGGTTCTGTTACAGTGTTCAGCAAAGTGCAGCTTTATATAGACAAAGCAGAACTCCTCCCCGTAGTTAGAGGGCAAACACAGGCTGAGCGGGACGCGGCGAGCCCTGCTCGGTGATTAATACGCCAGGCATAAAAGGGCGAAGAGGCATTAGTGTTTGTTGTGCTTTCCTCCCCAGAGAGGGGGTGGGGATTCATCGGCAGAAGTTTTCCATGGCCCAGGAATCAAAGCTTTGTTTTCCATGGCAAGAAGTTGGTAAACAGAGCGCATTCCACAGCTGTCCTTACAAAACCTTCCCAGGAGGCTGCCGGGGCCAAAAAACATCCCAGTCCTCAGCTCAAGAATTGCCTAAACCAGCTCTGGTATTTCAAAGCCTTACATAGAAAAGTATCCAGTTTCAGAGGATTCTCGCTTACTGTTTTTCCCCTCCGGGCAGGCTTAAGCTCATCGTTATAAAACAAATGGGAGGAGCTAACCCTGCTTTTTTGAGGAGTACGTGATGAAATCTTTGTTGTGCGAATGAGCTTAGCAGTTTCATACTCTGTCATAACACTGCCCAGCAGCCTGTCCCTGCTAGCCCTGTGCCCGAGGACCTGCAGGCAGGAGGCCAGGCAGTGCATCCATCCTCCTCCAGCCTGCCCCAGTCCCTCTGGGAGGGCTCCTGGTGCTTCACAGCTTCTCACAGCCAGAGCAGCCAGCCTGTGCCTTGTTGGAATCACCTGCTTTCTGGCAGAGTTAGTTCTTGCACCCTTTCACACTATGTACAAGGATCTGCCACTGCTGAGAAGCAATTGTTGCCAGAGTAGGAGGGAAAAAGAAAAGAAAAAAAAGCATAACCTGCCCCAAAACAAGATGCTTGCTAGTCAGCCTGACCTTCTGCTCACAGCAGGCTCCTGGAATGCCTCCCTCCACGCCAGGCAATAAACTGCTTCAACAACAGCTCCTTTACTATTTGCCCACCTGCATTTCAGCAAAGTATCACTTTTCTTCCAAGCACTGCAGATCTTCGTTGGCATACAACAGGACATTGTGCTCAACTAAATAGGGTACAGAGGGATGTCTCCAGATCATGTTATCTTCTGTCAGCAGAGATTACTTACCATGTTGGAAAACAGCTTCTACCAAAACACACTTCTGAAAAGCAAACAAATAAACAAAAGAAAACTGATCGAGTCAAAAGTAACCACTTTGTTACAAAAACCAAAGCCTTTGACCTCAAGAGAACCTGATGAAGTTTATAATGCTTCTACAGCGCAGTAAAAACCCAAAATGCTTCAGATAACCCACAGCAGCATTAGGCCTGTGGAAACCCATTGCACAACAGCAGGGCCATAGAACATTCACCTATTGTTCTCCACAACATCCTCAGCTATCTGCAGCCAAATCCATGTTCAGGAAATAGCAATTTCCTGGCTCTGTGCTGCTGCCTCACTTGCTGATGGTGACAGCTGATGGTGAGGGCAGTGGGTCCCGCAGCCAGCAGCAGGCTCGGGCTCTTGTCACTTGTCACTGTTGGCATTGAACAGAACCACAACTTCTGGGTTTAGATGTTGTGCCAAGGACGTGGTTTAGAAGGGAAATGCTGGTGGCAGGTGGGCAGTTGGACTAGGTGATCTTGGGGGTCTTTTCCAACCTTGGTGATTCTTTGATTCTAAGCGTCAGGGGAGGTTCAGGTTGGATATTAGGAAAATTTCTTCTCAGAATGAGTGGTGATGCATTGGCAGAGGCTGCCCAGGGAGGTGGTGGAGTCACTGTCCCTGGAGGTGCTCAAGAAACAAGGAGGTATGGCACTGAGGGACGTGGTCAATGGGCATGGTGGGGACAGATCAAAGGCTGGCCCTGACGATCTTAGAGGTCTCAACCTTAATTATTCTGTGATTCTATGAGAAGTTATTATGAACAGCTGGGAGAGTGGACTGGATTCTGACACATCATTTTGGACTATAAGCCGAAATGTCCTCAGTCCTACTGCTGATGGCAATCAAGAGAATGACCCTGAGCAGACACACTGATGCAGTCACAGCCAAAGGCTGAGCGCACACTTGGCCCCACCATGCAGCAGCACAGGGTGCTCACAAACTCAATTCCTCAATAGCCCTCAGGCATTTAATGGCAGCATTTGTCCACACAGGCAAGGTGCCCAAATCCCCTTCGCGTGGCACCTCGAGTCTCTGACAGCTGAGGGCACACTCAGGAGCAAATGGGAGGAAATGTGAGATCTCACGTGTCAGATACATTCCTATGTCCCTCTGGGCAGTGGCACATGAGTTGGCAAGGGCTGTCTCTGGCTGCTCAGCTTTCATGTGCCATCTGGAGCCATTGGGTGGGATGGGAACGTATATTCCTGGCTGTGACTCAGACACCTCTGTGATGCATAGGGGAGTGAGAACCTGAATGCTTCAAGGCCAAAGAGCACTGCGAACAAAGCTATGACCCCATTTGTGGAGCAAAGCTCTACAGTTCAGATCTAGAAATTCTTGCCAGCAAGTGACTCAGACTCACGGGTGCCTGTGCAACAGCATCTGCCCTCGGGACAAAGGGGCTGTGATGTGTGTATCCCACCCTGCACTGTGCTGGGGTGCATCCAGTGAGAGTGCTGTGGCGACCTTTGCATGGCAAAGGTCGGCTCCACAAGCACAAAGCAGTGGGAATGGTATCTAAAGTAACTGTTTCTATTCTCTAAGGTAACTGTTCTGCTGGGAAACAAACCATCATAACTGCCTGGGTTTTAGCAATGTGGACTGAGCAGTGCTTTGCAGAAAGTAGGGTACTCTGAAGACCTGTGTGTGGGCCACCACAAACACAGCATGGCACTGTGAAATTCCAAGCCTGAGTGATTGTTCTCTGAAGATTTCACCGTCAGGGAAGTAACCATGGAAAGCACTAAATAATTAAGTACTGTGGAGTGTTGCCCAGTAACTGAGTGCAATAGTGCAGCACTTTTTCTGTGAGCATGCACTTGGGTAAATATTTAGGCTTTTAGAGCTTTAAACGACTATGGGCATTGCACCGGGATGCTGTGCAAAGCCCTGGACTATGTTTACTCAGTGGTGATGTATCACCTATAGGTTCCTCTGAGGGTTTTCAGCATGTGCAGTTCCTGGGTAGGCCACAGCCAATCCCTGTGCCAGTGATGAGCGGCCATTTTCCAGGGCTGCATTAGTGAAGGTCGGTGCTCCCCATAGCCCCACCACCCCCAGCTCCTGGCTGAGGGCTGTGAGGCAGGGCTGTCTGAACCTGCCCATGCTGCTCGGTTTCTAGATGCCTTCGTGAGGTGGAGCAGTGGATGTGCTGTGCATTAGGGCAGAAAAAAACTGGAGCTGGCTGCTAACAGGTGCAGACTGGAGCAGCAGGCACCCAGCCCCTGTTCTGCCATAGGACCTGCAGTGCCGTGCTGGCCATGCCTGGCTCACCTCTAGCAGAGCATGCAGCAGTGCAGCACCCACCTGCCTTGCGGGGTGGCCATATCACAGAATCATATCATAGAATTTCCTAGGTTGAAAAGGACCACAATGATCACCCAGTTCCAACCCCCTGCTATGTGCAGGGTTGTCAACCAGCAGACCAGGCTGCCCAGAGCCACATCCAGCCTGGTCTTGAATGCCTCCAGGGATGGGGCATCCACAACCTCCTAGGGCAACCTGTTCCAGTGCCTCACCACCCTCTGGGTGAAAAACTTCCTCCTCATATCTAACCTAAACCTCCCTGTCTTAGTTTAAAACCATTCTCCTTGTCCTGTCATTATCCACCCTCATAAATAGCCATCATTCATCAAGCCAGCAATCAAAAGCAAAAGAGATCTGCAGGACATGGCATTGTCCTTTACAAGAAGCCCAATGATACAACACAAGCACGTAATGAGGAGATGTATTTCCGAGGGGTGGAAATCTTAATTGTAATTTTATTTATGTTAATCTGAAAGTACAGCAAAATGGAATAAGCAAATAATTGACATGAAATACAACAGCAGCTTAACTTCTGATTACTGGAAGGGAACCTAGTTTAATCATGTGGATATTTCTGTATTCCAGAATAGTATCAGTTCTGCTGTTTTTGTGAGTACATTCAACAGATGTAGCAATCACTATTGCACTGCTACAAGAGCAGGGCAGTAACACTGCTGAAGCCTTATAGCCCACTTTGAACAGAACATGGTGAGCAGATGTTATGAGATACACTGAGATGCATTTTTCCTGTGGGTAGGATGAGGAGAGCATTCTGCCTTATGATTTTGTATGTGGGGAGAGAGTAGTTATCCAGATCTCAGATAGCTTTTGCTTTCTACGCAGAGGAGTCGGGAATTGTGAAGATGGATTTGACATGCAGTACTGCTTGCTTACATCAACATCATTTCTTAAATCCACATTTTTTCCCAAAGCCAGACACTGCTTCTGCAGCTTGCCCAGCTGCTTTTTCTACACCATCCTGTGTTGTCTTACAAGCCTTATCCACAGCTGGAAGAGAGGGAGAAATGCAACACGTAAGCAGAAAGCCTGAAAAAAGTGCAAACTAGTTCATTCAGTGTTTATGATGGGGAGGGGAGGGGAGAAAATGTTTCTACTATAAAAATACAGAGGCATATCTTGCCAGTGTCCAGTGATAAGAAACAGGCACAGGGCTCAGTGCTGTGCACGAGGCACAGCAGCTGGAGGCGAGCCACTTGCTGGGGGTCATCTGCTGGTGAGCAGAGCTACTACCAAGGAACACACCTGCAATCTTTTCCCATCGGTGTTGTGAAAGGCCAAAACAGTCACCAAACCTACCTTTCTGGCCGGCATCTGTAATCTGGCTGACTGCATCCTGAGTGGCCTGTCCCAACGCACTCGCTGTAATTAAGGACAAAAGGTTCATTTCCACGTGCCCATTACAGACAGATTGTGCCCCTGTTAGAGATGCAGCCTGGGCTGTAGGGTTTCACTCATGGGCATGTGGTGAGTGGGGTGTCTGCTGTGGGATGGCATCAGCACTCCCTGGGAGCTGGACACGTCCGTGATGGTAAGAAGATAAAAATGTAAGGAGAAGAAGAAGCAGAGGTTAGCAGTGAGCTGGAGTGAGACATTTGGCTGTGAAGTTGCTTACTTTGCCCTACACTTGCTTTTATGGATTTTTAGAGGTTAATAGCCCTGGAGATATTTGGTCTCACATGCACTGTCCTCATGGGCTGCTTGGGTACAGTGCCTTTTTTCACATTTAAAAGAACAGGACAGGACAGGACAAGGGAGACTTTACAGAGGTCTAAATAAACACAGAGAAGCGGGAGCTAGCACCAGAGTAGATCAGCTGCAGAAAACAAAGCATTAAAAGAGTGAGATGCTGCACAAAATATAAGCTGGTGCTGGCTGCAGGAGAAGTGACAGCCATCTTATCTCCTCTGCCAAAGGAATGGTCTGCACACACACTCTGTAAATAATGTGCTACCATGAGCTGTGCGTACAGTGATTTGTTTCAATTAAGGGAAAAGCTGTTACATATTGCACAACAAGGTTGGCTCCCAATGCACAGTACTTGGTCCTACAATGTGGGAATACTTATGGCAGAAATATACGCACAGGTTTGTAAACCCTGCAAAATCTGGTGGTCACTGATGAACAAGAATACAGCAGGAACACACTTATATTTTTTGTTTCAGACAGTGCGTTGCAATCAATATATACCAGCAGACACTGGTATTCAGGCCAAGCAGCAAACAGTAAGGGTAAACAGCAGCTCTTGGAAGCAGAGCAGATTAGAACACTCCACAAAGCATGAAAAATGATCACAGTGAGCAATGCAATGCTACACACAAAAGCTTATTACCACCAACAAAGGCTCCAGAGCTCCCAACCCACCCAGTTTAGGATCTGTGTGGGGACAGCTGGAGGCTGACATGCTCAGCAGAGCTCTGTGGGCTCATGGGGGCTGCCTGTGCCCAGCTGAGATCTGGAACTGCACCTGGGGCCAAATGTAGCCCCAGGAACAGAGAGGGAAGGAGAAGCTATGCTCTGCCTCAGTGTGACCTGCTCACCAGCAGGGCAGCAGCTCTTCACTGGGATATTTATGGCCCAGTCTGTATTGGTGGTGGTGAACTGGAGATCTTGTCAACTCCTATGGAGCTAGCAGCATAGCTTCAGATTTCGGTTTCTGTAAGTGAAAGCAGCAACTGACCCCCTGCACATAGACAGTGATGTTCATCCTCCTTACCAGCATCTTTAGCCGCTCCTTCTGCCTGCTCCTTCAGCCCCTGGAAGCCTCTACCTGACATGGTGATTCCTGATGCCTCTGCCACAAGAAGTCCAACACCAGGGATGTGCAGCACACTGCCAGGGGTGTCCTGGCCTGTCTGCCTTTATATGTGTGCCAGGAGTCCTGATGGTGCTCTGGGGACGGTTGGTGCTATGGGTGGGGTTTGAATCTGAGGAATGAGAGCTGAGATTCTAAGCAGATGTCTTTACCCTTCCCAAAGAGGGTGTGCCCAGGTGGAGATTTCTGCTTCATCACATTGTCTTTGCTTATAAGTTTGTTGTTTTTTAAAAATCAAAGCAAAAATATCTTGTTCCACCACAGTAGACAGAAACCACTGAACTCCTCACAAAGAGCTCTGGAAAAGTACTGCAGCAGCAGCACCCGAGCACATCCTGCACTCACCCTGCCCAGACTGCTGCCTGTTCCTTCCACAAGCACGGTGGTGGGCTCACAGGTGCAGCCCCAGCTTCCTTTGGATTTTAGCATCTTTAATCACAGTGCACTTTTCTGGTCACATGCAATACTCTCTGATGGTGAAAGCCCTAATTACCTGAGTTTTTATACAACTTCCCAGTTATCAGCTCCTGCTGGGTTGCAAGAAGCAACCACTGCTGGAGGCCTTGCCAGGCTGGGGGGAGGACAGCTGGATCAGCTTTGGCAGTTCTCGTGGAAGGGAAAAAACAAGTCCAAACAGCAAAGCCTGTCTACAAGTATAACTTTGTATTACTGATTTGATTGGTATAGCAATATTGTTTAAAACCATTTCCTTGCCTAACATCACTGCTTGAATAAAAGTGGCATCTCACGTGTCCCTACCAGCCTTTGAAATGTGTATTTTCTGTCACCAATCCTGCAGACAAAGAAACTTTGCACCAATAAACCACTGTGCTCAGACAGAGCAAGGCCAGGGCTTTGCCAGCAGAAGGGCTCCAGCTCCTCATTACTGCATTCCAGTTCACAAAGCGCCTGGTTCAGATGTTCACACTCATACCCACATTCATCTTCCTGAATAAAGCTTTTTGGTGGGAAATGGGCACAAGAACAAGACACCGTGGGTAAGCTAGGGTGGGAAGCGACAGCTCTTGTAAGCTCAGTGCTTCATTAGTACCCAAGTGAGCTCGAGCAGCAGAAAACAAGCCTGAACACAACTGCTCCCCTCCGTGCCATCAGCTTGGCTGGCACTGTGCAGAGTGCTTTTCAACTTCTGCACCACTGGCACTGCTTCTCTGTTACTTCAGACAGTGATCCCTCTTCCTCCCAGACAGGGCCATTAGTATTTCAGTTATGCATTCCCATCATGAACCTTTCTCAATTCCTTGCTGACTTCTTTTTTTCCAAACAGTTTTGTTGTTGGCTTTGCAAAACCTCTGATAAAAGAAACCGAATATTTTGGGTCTCCTGGCAATTTTTTTCCAAAAGTATTAACATAGGTCCACTTGTCTTACTCAAATCTGAAAACCTAGCAACAACAACACTGCCTCAAACAGGCAGAATCTCGCCAGTTTTCAGCACTCTCTGCTGTACTGCTGCCACCTGTTAATTTTGTGCAGAGTTGTGTTAGTGGAAGCACGAGAGAAGCCTGAAGCTTCCACCATTCACCAGGGCCACTACAGCTCCAAGAGAGATGCTCGGACCCCCGCTGTCTGGATGTCCTGACCCCTCATCTGTGCCATTTGGATTTCAGCTCAAGGGCCCCGCTGGCTCTGGCTGTGGAGTCAGACCAGAGGGGAGAAAAGGCGTTTGGGTAATGTTCACAACAGTGCATGCTTGTATGGAACATAAAACATGCCCTGTGTTATAACAGTATTTTAGAGAGAGCACAGCATGGCTGTAATGTAATGTAATGTAATTCTTACCCTTAATATAATTATCCCGATTTCAACCAAACAAAAACACTAAGCTCAAAACCAAAGAAAGAAAACTACACATGTCCCCTGCAAGCTGACATGTGAGGTCATTATAATATAAACCAGAATAGAAGAAATAGTCATATGGCACTGATATGCACCCTATCACATAGAAATCCCATCTAATATATACCTTACAATTTATATACTTCTACACATTATGAATAGTCCCACCTGACAGGACTAAGAGGTCTGTACATTAGCTGGCTTGCAGAGTTATGAAGCTGTGTCAGAAAATTATTGGAATGTAATGCATCATCTTTATTTACTTTGTGAGATAGCACTGCTTTTTGAATCGCAGTATGGCTTAGGTTGGAGCTTAAGACCTTAAGACCAACCAGCTCCAAGCTCTCTGCCATGGACAGGGCTGCAACCCAGCAGCTCAGGCTGCTTAGGGTCCCATCCAACCTAGCCTTGAACACGTCCAGGAATGGGGCACCCACAGATTCTCTGCATAGCAGCAGCGCCAGTGCCTCACTGCCCTCTGAGAAAAGAATTTCTTCCTAACATCTAACCTAAATCTCCCCTTTTTCAGTTTAAAGCCATTCCCCCTTGTCTTATCACTATCAGACTGGGTAAAAAAAACAGTCCCCCTCCTGCTTATAAGCTCCCTTCAAGTACTGAAAGGCCACAGTGAAGTCTTCCCAGAGACTTCTCCAAACTAACCAAGCCCAGCTCCCTCAATCTTTCTTCATAAGAGAGGCGTTCCAGCCCTCTGAGCACCCTTGTGGCCTTCTTCTGGACCCGCTCCAACAGCTCCGTGCCTTTGACGTGTCGGGTACCCCAGATCTGGATGCAGGACTCCAGATGGGACCTCACAAGGGCAGAGCAGAACGGGACAATCCCCTCAATCTCCCTTATATTCACTGCTCTTTTCATGCAACTCAAGATACTCTTGGCCTTCTGGGACTGCAAGCGCACGCTGCTGGTTTGTGTCCAGCTTTTCATCTACCAGAATAAGTATTTCTCTGATTAACTTAACCTGTGCTGTATGCCTGGGTGAAAACATGATTTTTTCAATAGCCTGTTCACTTTGTTCATCCCAGACTTCACTTTGACTTTGTTGTACACTGTCAATAGCCTGTAACCATCACAGAGACGACCTATCCCTCACCTGACAGACTCAACCAGCAAGTAGTGCGGGATCGCTCATTTTGCTTGTCAGCTCTCAATTGTGCTGTCTCAGAAAAAGAAATCCTAGGGGTGGGGCAGGGTATTATAAAGTATTTTGAATATATTTTGAAAGCCAAATGCCAACACAAATGCCACTGTGCTCCAGTCTCTTGATTTCTGATGGTACTGGCCCACTGCAACAGCCTCTGAGCACATCTACAGTTTTCTATTCTTCTTATTTCTATGGATTAACTCTTCCTGAATGGGTTTCCTGGGCTGAGTTGCATCACTCCATGTGTTGCAAGGTCGAATTGAACTGCTACAGGTGGCAACTTAGTCTGGACTCTTGCCTCATTCAGTCCCCTGCGTTTGCTGAGGCTGCAGTCAGACCCTGGATAACGCCAGCCACTGCACCACACTGCAGGCAGAGCTGCATGCTGAGGTTTCCTCGTCATTTTGAGCTGTTCTAGAAGTTACTCTGCATGGCCAGAGCTGAGGTGTGGGAAAGCATTATCACCAATGCTCCCCTATGGTGGTGCAGCCTGTCCCACCTGGATGCTCCCTGCCTGGATGCCCAGACTCCTCTGTATCTGTGCCCCCTAGGCTAGTACCTCCACACCATGACCTTTGGTGAGCAGCATGTTGTCTGCTCTAAAGAGAAAGAAAGAAACCCCAAACACCTTGCTCCTTAGCGAACCACGGCTGTGCCTGGAGCCAGCCGGCACCTTTCAGCACACATAGCCTGGAGTCATTCTGAGTCGCATACAAGGTGCTGCAGGGAAGCTTGGAATTGCTCTAACTCTGTTCCCACCTCACTCATGGCAGAACACGCCTCTGAGCACCCTGCCGTACAGCAGTAACACAAGCCTTCCTGCCTGTGTCACCCAGCAGAGGTGAGAGGCCCTTGGTCACAGCTAGAGCTCATGTTTTACACATGAGAACGGTCAAACAGGGTTAATTAAGTGGGAAGGGTTTACATTTGTTGGTTTTTCTTTGTTCAATTATACTTTCACCAGGACCGGGGCTTGTGTTTGCAGCAGCCAGGTAAGCATAGTAATGTGATTTAACCTCAAGAAATAGATCAATTTGCTGACAAATAGATGGAGTTACACTAAGTCGTGCATTACTCATATAAAAGATCAAACTAAAGCTGTTCTAGATAAGCTAAATTATCCCTCCAGACACATAGCATTTAATAAAAAATTAACGGAACTTAGCTCCCTGCAGGGCAGACCCTCCTGCCTTCAGGGACATGCTTTCACTCCCCTCGCCCCAGCACAGACTGTGCCCTCTGCTCTCCTCACCCAGGCTGGGGCCTGGTGCTGGCTGGCCTAAGGCAGCAGTGGGAGGAAATGGAGGCTGCCAGACATGGTGGGGTGACACAGGGTGACCGTGTCCCAGCCTCCCATTGTAAGGCTGGTGACAGCCTTGTGCAAAGCACGTGAGCACCTAGCAGCAGGGGCTGAGCCCTGCCGGCCCAGGAAGCTGCCCACATTCAGGTATTTATGCAATAATTGAGCAATGCTTTCAGGATTACAGATCGAGCTACAGGTAAGTAAATATCAGTTACATCATTTCCTTCCCACAGGAAAAACAATGCTGCAGCGTCCACAAGTGGCATGCTGAGAGCTTCTCTCATGAGCACAGAGCTCCCTGCTGTAGAGCAGCTCTTCTGCTCTCCTCACTCTGCAGTTTCAGTTTTCCTGTGTTAAGTTGCTTTGGGTGAGGGCAAAGCCTATATGAGAGAAAACGCATTTGGGGAGTGGCTTTCCCCTTATTTTGAATCACAGGCTGCCTCAGCATGCATACCTGCTTTCCTGTGTGCTCCTCTTCCTCTTGTGCCCAGCAGGACATACCGCTGCACCACCGTAAAGCAAAGCCCCTAGCCTCCTGCTGCTGGGTGTGAGCATCACCACCCTTTCTGTCCCTTACTCTGTGATTGAGTTTTGTTATTCTAATTGGCAATTCCGAGAATCCTTTGCAGAGCACCAGAGGAGAGTGTGCACCTGTGAGTCACAACTGCCTTTGAGGGACCTTGTTACCTCTGGCAGTGCTCTTTGGTTCTCTGCCCTTGTGGAGATCAAACACCCACTGCAATGGAAATCCTGTGCTCTCAGCAAGGCAGTGTCTTATATGTAGAGCTAATAAGTGAGACAGAATCACCCGGGTTGGAAGGGACCTCAAGGATCATGTAGTTCCAACCCCCCTGCCTGGCAGGGCCACCAAACATACACATTCAGATCAGGTTGCCCAGGACCCCGTCCAACCTGGCCTTAAACACGTCCAAGGACGGGGCATCCACAACCTCCCTGGGCAGCCCGTTCCAGGGCCTAACCACTCTCCTAGTAAAGAACTTCCCCCTAACATCCAACCTAAATCTTCCCTCCTTCAACTTGGATCCATTTCCCCTAGTCCTGCTGTTGTCAGCCTTTTTGAAGAGTTTACTACCCTCCTGGGTGTAGGTTCCCTTCAGGTATTGATAGGCTGCAATGAGGTCGCCCCGCAGCCTTCTCTTCTCCAGGCTGAACAAGCCCAACTCCCTCAGCCTGTCCTCATAGGGGAGGTGCTCCAGCCCCCTGATCATCTTAGTCGCCCTCCTCTGGACCCTTTCCAAAATCTCTATGTCTTTCTTGTACTGAGGGCTCCACACCTGGACACAGTACTCCAGATGGGGCCTCACAAGAGCCGAGTAGAGAGGGACAATCACCTCCCTGTCCCTGCTGGCCACCCCTCTCCTGATGGAGCCCAGGATCCCATTTGCCTTTCGAGCTGCCAGAGCGCACTGCTGGCTCATATTCAGTCTCTCGTCCATCAGGACCCCCAGGTCCTTCTCTGCCGAGCTGCTCTCAAGGACCACTCCTCCCAGCCTGTACAGGTGCCTGGGGTTCTTCCGGCCCAAATGCAAAACCTTGCACTTTGACGTGTTGAACCTCATTAGGTTCACCCGAGCCCAGCTTTCCAGCCTGTCAAGGTCCCTCTGAATGGCATCCCTTCCTTCCACCGTATCAACCGCACCACTCAGCTTGGTGTCATCAGCAAACTTGCTGAGGGTGCACTCAATTCCCTCATCGATGTCATTAATAAAGATGTTAAAGAGCACCGGTCCCAAGACAGACCCTTGGGGGACACCACTTGTTACTGGCCTCCACCTGGACATAGAGCCATTGACCACCACCCTCTGTCTGCGGCCTTTCAACCAATTGCTTATCCATCGGGTCGTCCACCCATCAAATCCACTTCCCTCCAATTTGGAGATGAGGATGTGGTGGGGGACCATGTCAAAGGCCTTGCTCAGGTCCAGGTAAATGACATCGGTCGCCTTCCCTTCGTCCACCAATGCCGTCACTCCATCAAGTGAGAGAGGCTAATACCTCTCTTTCATGCTACAGCAAGTCTGTCCTGCTATACCTCCAGCAGCTGCCATCATTATGCACTTCAGTGAATGCTGGAATTCTGATTTCAAGCAGCCCAATCTCTGCAGTTTGTGCTGACTTCTCTTGAATCCAGGGCTGCTCTGCCTGTCAGTGAATAAACCCAGCACTTTTAGATTAATACAGATTGATGCATTTTAAAATCTTCCTTCAACCATGAGTTCTGCTCTGAAACATGCCACTAGACCCACCTTGCCACAGCCCTCCTGCCTGGACCTGCAGTCACACATCAGGTCTCACCAGTTTGTGCCCATCATGTTTCTGTCATTACATACTCAAAGACATCAGGAGAAGGTTTTCATGCTCTGCTGTGTGCAGGGTACGCAGCAAACAACAAATGCCAGCTGAGCTCCACATGACTTTCACATTCCTTTATAAAAGCTCATTTTTTTCGAATTTCCCCTCACATGCAACCTCTTAAACACAAGGACATTCTTAAAAAGTGAATAACCTCTATTTACTTAATATTCTATTTGCTTCAGAAGCAAAAGTCTCTATTTTTTCAACCCTGATAGACAGACAGCTGGCCTATCCATACCACTGCCTTCAGAAATAACAAGTTGTCATTATTTCCTTCATTGATGCCATTACTAAGGCCCTCACCATCTGGGGATGCCTCCTGTATTTTAATGGCATGTTTGCATGGAAAGAGCTCCTCAGCTTAGCAGGACCGACATCTAAACCACGCAAATAAAACTGACAGAACAAAAACTTGTTCAAATACTTTTTTTATTAGTTAAAATAAAAAATAAACTCCACAATACCAAGAGACCCCAAGTGCCAGTGGTGGTGGACATGAGCCATGGATCAGTGAGCCCACTAAAACAAACCGGAGCACCAGAACACACAAAGCTGGGGGGCCAGGAACCCAAAAGGGAGGGGGGGTGTACGGGGGGAAACCCCCAGTACAGTGTCACCCTCTCCTTACAACCAGGAGCTGACTTACATTGTATATTAAGGTTAATGAGGCTAGTGAAAGACTACAGTGCTGAGAGCAGGCTGTTCCTGCTGCAGTGTCAGCTAGTATTTTCATGTATGCTCTTGGGATTCCAACTTTTGAGATAGAAGTTGATTAATTGCCTTCATTTTCACCCTGTGAGAAAAGTAAGACAGGAAAACAGTTACACATTTTGACAAACAAAACGTGTATAAGCAAAACTAGGAGCATAATTCACACTGGTAGTCTTCAGGCTGAGCCAGTAAAAGACAGAGCACCAGGAGAGTGTCTGTCCATTTGGGCAATGCTCCACTGCCCTTGTTCAAGGACTGAGATGGGACCCAAAGCTGGCATTTGGCTTTAAGAGGGCATTGTAGCAATAGTAGATTAAAAAATAAAATAAAATAAAGGAAATAGCTTAAAATTTTGCAGAATCTAACTTGTCTTCTAAAGTCTGGTTGAGAACAGGCAAAAGCTAGTCCATGTGATTGAGCAAACCAAAGGAAAACATTAGTTATTATGTGTGTGTTCGTGTTCCAAAATAAGCCAAAATGAAGCAGCAGCTGACAATCTCAAAAGTCTACCACTCATGGCAACCTCCTGGCCCTGATAAAGGAAGCAGCAAAACATGGAGAACCTCTGAGCTTTGCCAAACAACTGATGAGAATGGGAATGCCGACAGGCTTCACGTGCAGCAAGCCTACGGTCACCACTGCACAGAGGGAAAGTCAGCCCCACAGAACAGCTGCGTGCAGGCTGGAGGTGGGGATGGCAGGGAGCAGAGCTCAGCACGGCCTTACCTCTCCACCGCCTTCTGTGCTCCCTGGTGCAGCTGGCTCTCCCTCAGCCGCCGGCTGCTGCGGAGCCAGGTCCTCCTGCAAGGCACAAGGGAGATGTTGGCCTCGGCTGCCATCACCTGCCTGGGATAGGCTGAGCAGGCCACACAAAGCAACCCCAGCATTACACAAACAAACAGAATGCCGCATTTAGCATCTGGTCAATCTTGTTCTTTTTCTGGCATTTTCTTTTGTGTCTCTGAGATCAAACACAATCGTGACTCTCTCTGAGCACCCGCCCTGCTGCAGGCTGCTGTCATGTGGCTCCTAGGGGAGACGGATCCACAGGGAAATGAAATTGCCTGCCTACAGGCAGCACAGAAACAGCATCCCTCGCAGCTTCGGGCACTGTCCCCAGCTGCCTTCTGAGAACCATCAGTCCATCTGCAGATGCTCCTCACGACAAGCACAGCGGGGCTTCTTCCCTAGGAAATGTGCCCTTCATTTGCGTTGCATCGTTAGCTGGGATGATTACTGCTACATCCTCTGACTTGGCTCCCCTCTACTCAGCTCTTGTGAGGCCCCATCTGGAGTACTGTGTCCAGGCCAGGGGCCCCCAACACAAGACACAGAGCTCTTGGAGCAGGTCCAGAGGAGGGCCATTAAGATGATCAGAGGGCTGGAGCACCTCTCCTATGAGGAAAGGTTGAGATAACTGGGCTTGTTTAGCTTGGAGCTCTGATGACATAAAACCACCTGCGTGATGGATACCAATAACCCAACAAAGTGGGAGCTAAGGCTGCTGGGGGACACCATGGTGCTGCTTGGGTCACTTCACTGCCTTCTGTCAATGAGTAAATAAGGAGAGGCTGATCTGTGCTCAGGAAGCTGCACCCAAAGGAGTGGTGTGGGCACATCCCCCCCACTCAGAACTTGTGCTGCTTGTTGTGTCTGTTCAGCTGTGCGCTGCCAAGGCTGCACTGCAGCAGGGTAATGGTGACTCACCTCTATTTATAGAAAGGAAAGCTACCGTGCTCCCTGAGAGCTTTCCTGAGCAGCAGCGGCAGGAACCAGCACAATCACAGGATGGAGAGGTGTCAACCTGTGCTGAGGAGTTCTTCTGGCTACTGCTTTCTCACGCGCTCCCACCCAGACCAGAGAACAGCAGGCACAGGCGGGCATCAGCAGGATGGGGTCTGGGTGATGGGCTGGGGGAACACGCAAGGGAAGGGTCTGCGCTGTGGCTAGGGAGCAGAAATTGATGGGTGCCCACCTTGGGTCGCAGGGCAGTGCCTTCTCATCCTCTCGTTAAAAGGGATAAAATGGTCTAAGGGAAAGGCATGATACAACCACAGAGCAACTAGTCAGCACTGCTGTTCTTCAGTGGCAAGCAGACAGATCTTTTTTCCTCAGAAATATATTGTCTTAGCAAAAGTACTTAGAACAACAACAAAAAAACAAACAACCTTTCATTTAGATTGCTAAGGGCTGTTTTCTTCTATTCTGAATGGGGAATATCGAACCTTTTGGCTTGAGAAGAGAGACACGCAGTGGCTGAACTCAGAAGTTACAGGAAAAAAAAGTTTCAGGAACAGTATTCAAGATTTTGTTTACATATTCATATAGAATACGTACACTATGGAAGATTCCTGTATATGACCTTTTTGTTCCTTTGGTGCAACCATCCTCATCTGAGCAGAATGAAGGCCATCTACACGCACTGTTCCTACTCTGAATGCGCAGCTGTTAGGAAAGCCACAGCACTGACACAGCACAAGTGTGCTGGGCCCAGTGCAGGGAGGAGCAAGGGGACTGCCCAGCACTCACAAATAACTGATGCCTGCTGACGTGCTCTGTGGGGCGAGATAGAAAGCAGTCAGAACCGATGTGCTGAGATAAGCTGACAACTGAGCCATACAGAAATGGGAGGGAAACATGGGGACGGTCGAGGTGGAGGGAGAGCCATGGGGAACATGAACTGCTGGGGAACCCTCTCCGGTCCCCAGAAAGGTTCAGTGTGTGTGTATGCACACGTGCTTGTTCCCAGCCACGCTGTGTCTGCAATGCAGCAGATTTTGTGCTGTGTCATGCAGACAAAAAAAAAAAAAAAAAAAAAATCAATCCTCATCAGAGATGACGATGCTCAACGGGTGTTAGTCTCACTGGAGTCCCTCACTGCCCACTGCAGGCACTGAGATGGGTGCAGAGCCATGGACAAAAACCACTATTGATGGTCCTTGATCCTTTGTGAATCAAAAAGAATGCGCAGTGTGTGTTAGCTTTTAAGTAAAATACCTTTAAAAACCTCCTCCCAAACAGACAGACCCTTCACACACTGTGAACAGGTTTTTTTTTTTTTTCCAGCAGGCCTCTAAAACACACTATAGAGCCTGGTGCTGTGAGGGCCAGTCCCTGGCCACATTTCCATTAGCAAACAGAGCTCTGCTGCTGCCCAGCCCGTTTCCTTCAGTGCAGCAGGTCACGCTGCCAGCCACTCCCGGGTCACACAAAGGTACTCAAGGCTCATCACTCCCTATCCAGACTGCTGCATGCATACCTGCAGCCTCACCACCATTCCCTGGCACAACAGAGATTAACCATATCCCCAGGGCTCAGCACTTCTCCTGTGTGAGCCCTCTCTGCATGCTTTCAGGGGGACGTTTTGCGTCACTCAGAACCACTTTTGTTGGACTATTTTCTCAGGGTTTATGCGGTGTGTGGAAGTCTTGTTTCACATCACAATGGGTTTACTTTCAGGCCAGGAAATTCATCAGCCAACCGTCTGAACAATTAAACCCATTTTGGCTGGCTTTGCTTTGCTTTGATTCTGGGTTTGGGTGTTCTGTGACTAACCTGGCTTGCCTCACGACCAGCGCTATTCATCACAGCTCTCAAAAGAGGGTAAAAACAAGTGGGCTCAGCAAGAAGACCAGACCCCCAGCCAGCCTCACACGCAAGCTGCTGCTGCTCATTATCCCTTGGGAAGTGTCCTGTCTAACAGGCAGACAGACCTTCCCTGAGGAGATGTTGTGCTCAGGCACATAGCCCTCAGTTCCACACTTGAACCAGCTCAGAGCTTCCTGCTGTGAAATCACCAATTGTAAACAGTTGCAGATATTTAAAGCATAATCCAAAGACAAGCTCTGTTCCGCAGGCCACCAAAGGCACAAACGTACCTTTTTTACAACTCCTGTAGTGGCCACGATGGTCTCTGCTCCTTCTACTGTCTTGTTGGCCACCGTGTTCACGCTGGCTACCACTGCCTCTCCCACCACGTTGGCCTGCTCCTTGGTCTTCTCAGCAACTGGGATTTCAACAACAGAAAGTCAGTCAGCTCACTGCTGTCAGAGGCTGCTAAAGCAAGGCGCAATAAGATGGCTGCACTAAGATAAGGGAGAAAATTGGCCCTGCATCTGAAATGCTGCTCAGGGGAATGCAAGCACTTAAGCCACTCAGCCTTCATGTGCAATTGGAGACTGAAAAACTCAGTGTAAGATACTAAGAGACAGTCAAGCAAATGAGGTATTTGTGCTACAGGCTGTGAGCGCCTCTCCATGAGCACTCTTCATTTGTTCTGTCTGATGTAATGCAGCTGGTAGAAAACAGTAATTTGGTCACAGAACTGGTCAAAGAAAGTATTTGTTGCTCTCCTTGCAAGGCAGAGCTGCCTGGGCCTCCCAGAAGAGTCCCCGTGACCAGCAGGAGTCACCCAGGCCATGGCTGTGTCTAGCAGGACTGGTGCAGGCATCCATTTTGGGAAACTTGTCTCTGTGAAATGCATAACTGCTGTAAACCAGCCGTGTCTGCCAGGTAATGCCTGCTGGTTGTTTCTGACCTGCTCTCATCCAAGAGCACTGCAAGTGTCAGACCCAAACCATCGCTCCTCTGTTCACTGAATGCATGGTCACACAGACTCCCATATTTCCCAGGGACTCCCTGTCAGGCAGAACCGATGGGGCTGTGCAACCCAGGACAGGTATCTGCATCTCCCTCGGAGCGGTGTGCTTACCTGAGGTCACACTCTGCACTACGCCTTCCTTGGTTTTGGTACCTGTGAGAGGGAACAAGAAGGAACAAGCCGTCCATCAGCGTTCAAGCATAAATAAATTGTATTTCCCAAATGAAAAAAAGAGTTGACTGGAGGTAATCACAGAATGGCTTGGGTTGGAAGGGACCTCAAAGATCACGAATCTCCCCGCCCCAGGCAGGGCCACCAACTTCCACATTTAATACTTGACCAGGCTGCCCGGGGCCTCATCCAGCCGGGCCTTGAACACCTCCACGTGCGTGCGTTGCGCACGATAAAGTGCGCGCAGAGCAGAGGCGCGTCTCGTTTGTGGCACGAGCACTGAGCTGAGAGCCGCGCCGCCGCGTACCGACCCACGGCCTTCGATTTCAGCCGCCGCCGGGGCCGCGTTGCGGTGCACGGGGTGGCACAGCCGGCGGCTCGGAGCCGCCCCGCAGAGGAAACGCCCAGCCCCGCGGCCGCGCCCGCTGACTCAGCCCGGCCCCGCCCGGCAGCCGCGTCTGCTGCGTCAGAGCCGTCTGCGGCGCTCCGGCGCCTTGCGCTCGTCGGTCCGCGGCTGCGGGGTGCCCGCGTGAGCGTTCCCAGCGCCTGCCGCAGCTCCTCGTGACCCTGAAAGACCCAGCGCAGAGCACGGAGCGGGGCAGAACTGGGGCTGTTACCAAACCTCTCGTCGTCTCCGCCTATGCTTGGTCCTCATTGCACGATTTGAGTTGTAAAGCCTTTAGAAACCGTAGTAAGGAGCTCAGATCTCCTGAGCGGGCTCTGCATCTCTCCCCAAAGCCAGGAGAATATAAAAATCAGGTCAGAGCGTAGAGATGCAGAGCGCTGCCCAAAGGAGATGCGAGGAATTCAGTTCAGAAATTTGGAAGTTTCCTTCCTAACATCACTCAGAGCAGGGAGCAGGAGCAACACCACAGGCTGGCTCACACACAGCCATTTTCAGGCTCTTGCGGCTGCCTCAATTACGTACAGGGATGCTGAGTGCCTTTTGCTTGTGAGTCAGCTTCAAACTGAAATGTAAGCTGCTACGTGCGTTCATTTGCAGCGTGCCATGAGCTGAGCGTTTAAAAATTCGGGATGAAGACATAACCAGGGCTGCTGCACATAAATTTTGTATTTATTTCATCTCCAATTTAAATCTGTTTCTACACATACAGCTATTGCCAATATGGCTGTTTTAAATACAGCAGCTGTGGGTACGGTATCTCAGGAGCCTGCTCACTTTCCCACTGCCCGACCCTCCTACATCTGAAGGACAGGAAAGCTGTGCCAGGTGCTGCTGTTGGCACCAGGGTGAGCAGGCCTGGGAAGGAGACTCTGCAGATGGATGGTACCTGGAGCATCCGACCATCCCGACATGTACTCTCATGCACCAGGCAGTGCAGGAACCAGGTACTGGGGGTGACCTTGAGCAGAGAAGGTTTGAGACATGATGGTAACTGAAGGATTTCTGGGCCGGGCAGCGGTCGTGCTGTTTCTCAGAACCTGCCCATGGGGCACAATGAATGTGAGTATCTCTAGTGAAGTGAGACTGATGTGCATATAGGCAATGAAACAGAGAAGGATTTCAGGATCAAAGGGTGTGTTTGTGGGTACAGGTGCATCCTCCAGCCCCACTCCTGACACGGTGGGCTGTTGGCATGGGCCAGCCAGCATATACCTCACACCTGGGTGCAGTGGGATGGCAGTGACGGGAGGGTGAGCTGCACCATGCAGGCACCCAGCACTCAGCACAGACCTGCCAGTCACACACCCGCTGCTCCACACCACACTGCTGCCACATCCCCAGGCAGAAGCAGGTTCTATGCCTGGCTCCCAGCTAGGGAAACTGAGGCACGAGATGTCTGCAGCATCCTAGGATTATGCAGCTCTGTGCCAGGGCATCACCCAGACCTCCCACCATTCACTCCTCAGCTCTGCCACACAGCAGTGTCACCAGACTTTCTCAGAGACAATTTATGAGGCAGTCCATGCTCAAAAGCAAATTGAAAACATCTCTCTTACCTACGTACATCACACCTTCTTTAGTCTTCTCCGCAGCCTCTGTCACTCCCTGCTTGGTCTTCTCTGCAGCAGCCACCACACCTTCTTTAGCAATAGAAAATCCTTTCTTAAAGACATCCATCCTTCTGGCTGCCCAGGGTAGCAGCTGGGTGCAGGGCAGCAGCAAGCGGTTCCTTGGGAGGGGTCCTGCAGTCAGCAACCCTGCCCTTGTTAGATCTTGCCTCCCCTGCCAGGCTCTGTGTCTGCTCCGGTTCCTCTGCTGGAGGAGGATGGTGAGACAAACCTTGCAGCCTTCTCTGGCTCTTATTGATTAAGTGCACTGCAAAGTAGCCAATGCCTGCAAACAGCTGGTACTGAAATATTAATGATATGGATCTGCCTGGTAAGATTTAAGGAGGGAGGGGGAGAGGAGGAGGACAGAGGTACGTAAGAGACTTTCTGGAAATCCTCCAGGTAGATAAAGCTTTTAAAAGACGCTGCGGTGCTCTCGCTCAAGGATGCTCTCAAGAGGAGATGTTTTATCCAAAGAGCTGAGCTCCTGAAAGCGCCTCTGCCCAGGGCTGCAGCAAGCACAGGCTCCTCAGGGTCCTCAGGAGGAGAAAAGCATGTGAAGTGCTGGTAATAAACCCGACAGGGACAGCTCTCCAGGTTAGCTGTAAACAGAATGCATCCCACACAAAGCAGTAACAAGAATGTGGTTTCTCATAAACGCTGACTGAGAAGGGGAGCAGATAGCGCTTGTGCCCAAGGACAGCGTGCTGGAAAGCCCAACAGCCACATCTGAAATGTCTGAAAGTGGCCCCCCCAGCATCAAGTACAAATCACAGTTTGGGCTTGACTACACACCCCATCATAATAGCTTTAAAGTGAGCCAGGGTTTAGGTTTAGGTTAGATATTAGGAGGAAGTTTTTCACCCAGAGGGTGGTGAGGCACTGGAACAGGTTGCCCAAGGAGGTTGTGGATACCCCATCCGTGGAGGCATTTAAGGCCAGGCTGCATGTGGCTCTGGGCAGCCTGGTCTGGTGGTGGTTGGCAACCTGCACACAGCAGGGGGTTGGAATCAGATGGTCATTGTGGTCCTTTTCAACCCAGGCCATTCTCCAGTTTTATGAGAATGGTTAAAGACACGATGGCTGTAGGGGAAATCTTGTTTTTATTTGTTTCCGGGCTGAGCCACTGCAGAATGATGTCGGTGGGAGGACTGATGGCAGAAGCCTTGAGCTGATGACCCACTTGGCCTCAATGCCTCTCCAGGAAAAAGTATTGAAACACAGATCATTAAAATCACATCTGGATATCATTAGTAATTTATCTTGAGTTCGATTCTTTCTGGAATAGACCCTAAGTGGCCCAGATCAGCTTTTCTGCTGCTCCCAAACTGGAACCCAACAGAAACAAGTGCTGGTACAACACAGTAGTGTTTTGTTTCTGTTGCCCTATTTGTGGAAACCATGAAGTATCCCTCTGTGCACTAACCCAGCCCACTGCAGCTGCCCCTGCTTACCAGGCAGGCTTAGAGGGAAGCTCCAAGGCTGCAGCCATGACATGGGCAGCACACAGATTGCCCTCTTACTGCTGAAGTCAGCAGATTAATGTGGGTTTGGGAAGTGTTTTCTTACTCCATGTTGAAATAATGGCAAGACTGTTGATGTGGAAAATAAGATAAAGATTTATTAGTCTTTTCCTCACCAGTGGTTCTCCTTGCCAATAAATGAACCACAAATTCCCATTTCAATGTAGAAGAGCTAAATCTCTTACAGGCTACAAAATGTATCAATTGTTAATCCAAAAAAAAAAAAAAAAAAAAAAAGTGCAATATTCAAAGAAAGACCATCACAGCATGCTGAATATTGTAAGTGCTCTCACTGTTCTGGACTGCCATAACACTGAGGAAAGAACAGCTTTTCTTTCCATCCTTCTGAACATCCTTTGGGCAGGTGACTGCCCACAACCCACAGGGCCCAGTGTTCACAAATGTGAAATGTGCGTGCCCTGCTGCGTCACACTGCAGGAGGCTGAGTATGGCATATGGTTCCATTAGGCACAGGGCAGGTGCCAGGTTTTTACTGCATTTGGTAAAAAATGAAACTGACCATCCTTGGGGCCAATTTACTTCTCCTCAAGGCTTTCAAAGAGCATTAAGGCAGAGCAGAGGGCTTTCCAGGCACTTCATGGGAACATCCAGCCTGAGAAGGTTGTGAGAAGTATTCTTTGATTTTGTTGAGCTATTGTCCTGTCATTGTAACTCCTGTAATTAAATGCTGCATATTTTGCATTGTTGTAGAAGTTCACAAACGCAAGGAACATCGAGCCATCCTGCAGTGTGGGAGATGAATCATCACTCAAGTGCATCAACCGGTGCTCGAGAGGGATACTCCTTTCCTGTGCTCTCCCGTCCCAATGACCTTCAGACAGAACTCACGAGAGGCATTTAAACTCGCTGGATCCCTCCCAAGACAGCCAGCAGTTCGCACAGACATTGTTTTACCTTGGAACCATTTTAGGAAAGCTCTGGACTCAAGGCAACGTTGTAAGTGACCTATGTAGGGCAAGAATCAATAAGAGCTCCTGAATATTAGCCATCTCATGGCATCTGTACCTTCCTACTCGAAGCTGAGGATCTAGTGCTCATTTGTTGCCAGTCCTGCCTCAGTGGAAGTTGGCAGTGGGTGAGATCTGTGCCTGAAGAAGAATTTTCCCCTTGTAGTAGATACAGCACCTTAACAAGGAATGGAGTTCTTCCTCCTAAGGGCAGATCAGGGGGCCAAGGCTGGCCTGGCAGCTGGCAGCCCCTTTTGGTCCCTCAGATGCCCTGGGATGCACAGGAGAAGCCACTAAGCCAGGCCCTCCACCCCTCCCCATGGATGATGGCTGCAGTGTGTGTGTGCTCTCCCACAGTGACTCTGCAATATGTGCAAGACAGGTCTAACCCAAGCCTACTATTCCCTAAAGCAGACACAAAGGAAATCAAGGAATGCAAAAGAAAATCAAAAACAAGACTCCATGTCCCCTTCTGCCCATTTTTTTCTTAGTGACTACAACAGACTGAAATAGGATTTCAATTAATTATCCTCTCTTCCCTCTGGCTCTCCGCATTGCTAATTACTGTGCACACAGCACCTTAACCTTGTCCTCAGCAATGAGCTTGGGCTGCTGGCCATCAGCTGTCGAAAGCATCTCACTGCTGGAAAGGAATGGGGTTTGGTCATTTATTGAAGTATTTTGGAGGCATATGACGTCTGAAAGATGGGCTGCTTTGTGGCTGATGCATATCCTTTGTTAGGGAAGTTTTAGCAGGGAGAATAATGCTAACAATAACAGGATCAGACCTTGCTCTGTATAAACAGAAATCCTCTCTCCGTTTATGAATACTTCAGAACGCGGAAAGGAGAACTGTCTCAGATGGCTCATTTTCATGCTTGGAAGAAAACAAGCTGCTCTGCCTGCCATCCTCCAGGCACACAGCAAGGACTCTCACCCCGGGCACAGGTCTGCATGGCTAATGGGAGATTTCCTCTGGTAAGGCTGGCGGAGGAGCATTCAGAAGGCACATACACAGCAGCTGGCAGGATGGCCTGCAGCCGGCTTTGGTGGTGAATCTCTGCCACTGAGCACCACTGATGGGCTCCAAGCAGAATGCTAAACACACTCCCAGCAAGAATGTGGCTTCCTCCCCTGAGGACAGACCACCAAAGCCCAGCTTCCCAGCCTGCCTGTGGAGGTAGCATCACCAGGTCATGCGGGTGGGCAGAGAATGAGGCAGCATTTCCCAGACCTGAAGGCAGTGGTGGCTGTCCAGTGGCTCCCCCCTTGCTGGGAAGATATCAACAAAGCTGTCCTATTCATCTTCACAGACAGAAAATCCATTCATTTATTCAGTCTGCTCCAGAGGTTTCAGGCTGGAATAAATAAGTCTGAAGCAACTTATGCTTATTAAAACAATTCCAGTTTTTCTGGGCTTTTCAAGCCTGTTTTTTTTTTCCCCAGGACTGTTTTGTTTTTTCCCTTTTCTTTTTAAATATTCAGATTCTGAAGTTAAAATATAGGCTTAAGAGCATTACAGAATAGCAGAAGAAGATGCAGAAGAAAAAAAAATTATCTGAATTGAAATTAAAGATTTAATTTCTAGCTGCTCTTTCTCCACAGGGAAGCTGCCAGGCATCACCTGCTCGATTGCTGTCCAAGTGAACACAAGCCATCTCTCCAGCATGATGTTTGGCAATGCTTTCCTGCTGGTTCTGCCTCCTGTCAGATTGCAGCCTCAAGGGTTTGTCCTCTGAGCAGAGTAGAGAATCACCAAGAGAAAAAATGGGATTTTCCTATGCTGTGGGTTCTCTAGAAGGCAGTGCTGATGTTTGACATCTTGGCCATTTGGAGGTGCAGATGGGATGTTGGCCTCTCAGGACAGGAACTGTGGGAGAGGGTTAAGAGCTGTGCTTAGGGTAAACAGTTACAATTAGCAGACAAGGCAGGAGTAGTGGCAACAGTTGTCACAAAGTTCATGGGGTTCATGGATGAGTCTGGAGTAACTGGTGATGCATTGGCACCTGCTGCCCAGGGAGGCGGTGGGATTACTGTTCCTGGAGGCGTTCAATAAATGAGGAGGTGTGGCACTGAGGGACATGGTCAGTGGGCATGGTGGGGATGGATCGAAGGCTGGACATGATGATCTTAGAGCTGTTCTCCAACCTGAGTGATTCTATGATTCCGAGACTGAGAATGGATCAAAATATTTCCAAGAAATGTTGGGAAAATTAATTTCACAAATAAGAGCACAAAGGAAAGGAAGAAATAACAACTGGAGACCAAGACAGGAGGAACAAACCAGGTATCTCGCCTGTCAAATTTAGATGCCAAAACACAGAGCAAGTCTGTTTTTCTTAGCTGATCTGAGGGCTGCTGGAAATTTCTTTGGGCAGCTCCAAATGCCTCTGAACTGAACTACCATGTCACTTACTGAGCATCCTCTAATGCCAAAACATCTTCCAAATTATATTTAATTTTTTTTTTAATCTTACCTACTTCTTCCACTCTAGTAGGAGCACCCAGCTCTGCAAAGTACACCGAGCTTCCAGTAAAGCAGGTATCTGAATAGGGAATAGGCATCTACTGACGTTAGCTGGTGCATGCTTGTCTTTCTCATCATCTGGAGGTATCTCCTGGAAAAGACTGTCCTCAGAAAGTGAAGAGCAAACAGTTATGGAAAATGGCCTTATGTGTCTGTTTCCCATGGTTCCATCATCAGAACCAGATCAAAAAATGGGCAAAGTTGAGATGAATTGTGTTCCTATGCAGGTGCTCCTCATATCCACTCCCCTACAGAAGTTAAACCAGAAAACTTATGTCATAGCCCAGTAACTGT